ATTGTTGCTATTTTTGCATTTTTCAGTAATTTTTGCAATTTTTGCAATTTTCAGTAATTTTTGCGATTTTTGCAATTTTCAGGAATTTTTGCGATTTTTTCAATTTTCAGGAATTTTTGCAATTTTCAGGAATTTTTGCTATTTTTGCAATTTTTGCCATTTTCAGGAATTTTTGCTATTTTTTCAATTTTCAGGAATTTTTGCAATTTTCAGGAATTTTCGCTATTTCTGCAATTTTCAGTAATTTTTGCAATTTTTGCCATTTTCAGGAATTTTTGCGATTTTTGCAATTTTCAGGAATTTTCGCAATTTTCAGGAATTTTTGCTATTTTTGCAATTTTCAGTAATTTTTGCAATTTTCTGGAAATTTTTGCAATTTTCAGGAATTTTCGCTATTTTTGCAATTTTCAGTAATTTTTGCAATTTTTGCCATTTTCAGCAATTTTTGCGATTTTTTCAATTTCAGGAATTTTTTGCAATTTTCAGGAATTTCCGCTATTTTTGCAATTTTCAGTAATTTTTGCAATTTTTGTCATTTTCAGGAATTTTTGCGATTTTTGCAATTTTCAGGAATTTTCGCAATTTTCAGGAATTTTTGCTATTTTTGCATTTTTCAGTAATTTTTGCAATTTTCAGTAATTTTTGCGATTTTTGCAATTTTCAGGAATTTTTGCGATTTTTTTTCAATTTTTGCAAATTTCAGGAATTTTTGCAATTTTTGTTAGTTCAGCAATTTTCAGGAATTTTTGCTATTTTTGCATTTTCCAGTTATTTTTGCAATTTTTGCAATTTTCAGGAATTTTTGCGATTTTTGCAATTTTCAGGAATTTTTGCGATTTTTTCAATTTTCAGGAATTTTTGCAATTTTCAGGAATTTTCGCTATTTTTGCAATTTTCAGTAATTTTTGCAATTTTTGCCATTTTCAGGAATTTTTGCGATTTATGCAATTTTCAGTAATTTTTGCTATTTTTGCATTTTTCAGTAATTTTTGCAATTTTGCAATTTTCAGTAATTTTTGCGATTTTTGCATTTTTCAGGAATTTTTGCAATTTTCAGGAATTTTTGCTATTTTTTCAATTTTCAGGAATTTTTGCAATTTTCAGGAATTTTCGCCATTTTTTGCAATTTTCAGGAATTTTTGCTATTTTTTCAATTTTCAGGAATTTTTGCAATTTTCAGGAATTTTTGCTATTTTTGCAATTTTCAGGAATTTTTGCAATTTTTGCCATTTTCAGGAATTTTTGCGATTTTTGCAATTTTCAGGAATTTTTGCTATTTTTGCATTTTTCAGTAATTTTTGCAATTTTTGCAATTTTCAGTAATTTTTGCGATTTTGCAATTTTCAGGAATTTTTGCCATTTTCAGGAATTTTTACTATTTTTTCAATTTTCAGGAATTTTTGCAATTTTCAGGAATTTTCGCTATTTTTGCAATTTTCAGTAATTTTTGCTTTTTTTTCAATTTTCAGGAATTTTGCAATTTTCAGGAATATTCGCTATTTTTGCAATTTTCAGTAATTTTTGCAATTTTTGCCATTTTCAGGAATTTTTGCGATTTTTGCAATTTTCAGGAATTTTTGCGATTTTTGCAATTTTCAGGAATTTTCGCAATTTTCAGGAATTTTTGCTATTTTTGCATTTTTCAGTAATTTTTGCGATTTTTTCAATTTTCAGGAATTTTTGCAATTTTCAGGAATTTTTGCAATTTTCAGAAATTTTTGCAATTTTCAGGAATTTTTGCAATTTTTGCAACTTTTAGGGAATTTTGCAATTTTCAGGAATTTTTACAATTTTCGCAATATTTAGGAATTTTTGCAATTTTCAGGCTTATTTGCAATTTCTGCAATTTTCAGGCATTTTTGCGATTTTTGCAATTTGCAGGCATTTTTGCGATTTTTGCAATTTTCAGGGATTTTTTGAAATTTTTGCAATGTTCAGTCATTTTTGCGATTTTTGCAATTCTCAGGAATTTTTGCAATTTCTGCAATTTTCAGGAATTTTTGCAATTTTTGCAATTTTCAGGAATTTTTGCAATTTTTACAATTTTTACAATTTTCAGAAATTTTTGCTATTTTTGCAACTTCCAGGGAATTTTGCAATTTTCAGGAATTTTTACAATTTTTGCAATATTTAGGAATTTTTGCAATTTTCAGGATTATTTGCAATTTCTGCAATTTTCAGTCATTTTTGCGATTTTTGCAATTTTCAGGAATTTTTGCAATTTTTGCTATTTTCAGTAATTTTTGCAATTTTTGCAATTTTCAGGAATTTTTGCGATTTTTGCAATTTTCAGGAATTTTTGCGATTTTTTCAATTTCCAGGAATTTTTGCAATTTTCAGGAATTTTCGCTATTTTTGCAATTTTCAGTAATTTTTGCAATTTTTGCCATTTTCAGGAATTTTTGCGATTTTTGCAATTTTCAGGAATTTTTGCAATTTTCAGGAATTTTTGCTATTTTTGCATTTTTCAGTAATTTTTGCAATTTTTGCAATTTTCAGGAATTTTTGCGATTTTTGCAATTTTCAGGAATTTTTGCGATTTTTGCAATTTTCAGGAATTTTTGCAATTTTCAGGAATTTTTGCTATTTTTGCATTTTTCAGTAATTTTTGCGATTTTTGCAATTTTCAGGAATTTTTGCGATTTTTTCAATTTTCAGGAATTTTTGCAATTTTCAGGAATTTTTGCTATTTTTGCAATTTTTGCCATTTTCAGGAATTTTTGCTATTTTTTCAATTTTCAGGAATTTTTGCAATTTTCAGGAATTTTTGCTATTTTTTCAATTTTCAGGAATTTTTGCAATTTTCAGGAATTTTTGCTATCTTTGCAATTTTCAGTTTTTTTTTGCAATTTTTGCCATTTTCAGGAATTTTTGCAATTTTTGTCATTTTCAGGAATTTTTGCGATTTTCGCAATTTTCAGGAATTTTTGCGATTATTGCAATTTTCAGGAATTTTCGCAATTTTCAGGAATTTTTGCTGTTTTTGCATTTTTCAGTAATTTTTGCGATTTTTGCAATTTTCAGGAATTTTTGCGATTTTTGCAATTTTCAGGAATTTTTGCGATTATTGCAATTTTCAGGAATTTTCGCAATTTTCAGGAATTTTTGCTGTTTTTGCATTTTTCAGTAATTTTTGCGATTTTTGCAATTTCAGTAATTTTTGCGATTTTTGCAATTTTCAGGAATTTTTGCAATTTTCAGGAATTTTTGCTATTTTTGCAATTTTTGCCATTTTCAGGAATTTTTGCTATTTTTTCAATTTTCAGGAATTTTTGCAATTTTCAGGAATTTTTGCTATTTTTTCAATTTTCAGGAATTTTTGCAATTTTCAGGAATTTTTGCTATCTTTGCAATTTTCAGTTTTTTTTTGCAATTTTTGCCATTTTCAGGAATTTTTGCAATTTTTGTCATTTTCAGGAATTTTGCGATTTTCGCAATTTTCAGGAATTTTGCGATTATTGCAATTTTCAGGAATTTTCGCAATTTTCAGGAATTTTTGCTGTTTTTGCATTTTTCAGTAATTTTTGCGATTTTTGCAATTTTCAGGAATTTTTGCGATTTTTGCAATTTTCAGGAATTTTTGCGATTATTGCAATTTTCAGGAATTTTCGCAATTTTCAGGAATTTTTGCTGTTTTTGCATTTTTCAGTAATTTTTGCGATTTTTGCAATTTTCAGGAATTTTTGCGATTTTTTCAATTTTCAGGAATTTTTGCAATTTTCAGGAATTTTTGCTATTTTTGCAATTTTTGCCATTTTCAGGAATTTTTGCTATTTTTTCAATATTCAGGAATTTTTGCAATTTTCAGGAATTTTTGCTATTTTTTCAATTTTCAGGAATTTTTGCAATTTTCAGGAATTTTTGCTATTTTTGCAATTTTCAGTTTTTTTTTGCAATTTTTGCCATTTTCAGGAATTTTTGCTATTTTTGCAATTTTTGTCATTTTCAGGAATTTTTGCGATTTTCGCAATTTTCAGCAATTTTTGCAATTTCAGGATTTTTTGCTAATTTTGCATTTTTCAGTAATTTTTGCAATTTTCAGGAATTTTGCGATTTTTGCAATTTTTGCTATTTTCAGTAATTTTTGCAATTTTTTCAATTAATTTTTGCAATTTTCAGGAATTTTTGCTATTTTTGCAATTTTTGCCATTTTCAGGAATTTTTGCGATTTTTGCAATTTTTGCCATTTTCAGGAATTTTTGCGATTTTTGCAATTTTCAGGAATTTTCGCTAATTTTGCATTTTTCAGTAATTTTTGCAATTTTTGCAATTTTCAGGAATTTTTGCGATTTTTGCAATTTTCAGGAATTTTTGACTGATGCGTGATTGTTAAATAAAAAATGTTAATAACAAGATTGCTATTGTTTTGTATGTCAATATAAAAAGTTTCATCCGAATTGTCCACACTAAATCATTATTCTCATCTTACGCTCCCAAACCTCTTTCAGAAATTGGTGGCAAACGAAACTTTGGGATACTTCATGGCAAGGATCCAGCAGTTCATGGTGAAATGTGGCGTGGATCCTTCACGTCTCAGGTTCAGGCAGCACATGGCCAATGAGATGGCCCATTATGCTTGCGATTGTTGGGACGCAGAATGTTTGACAAGTTATGTAAGTCGAATTCCATCATTATTCCCGTAACCGGTTTTACAACAATGATGAAAACTATAAGGAATATCGTTTGATGGACAGAAATAAATAAATAAATAGATAAATAGTTAGAGAGTCAAGGATTGTCATAACTAATCAGAAGGGTGAACGATCGTTTCAATTCCATTTATTCAATAAGAACATGTTTACAATACAAGGTGTATAAAAAAATCTTCTAAAGGGGACATTGGACATGATAAAAATAAAAAATATACAAATACAAATTACCCTCCAAGGGAGCCCTCAGAGGCAGCTGATGCAGGCCTTGCCGATGATTTTTGTCTAACAACCCTGATGGCAGTCATGAGGGAGCTGACTCCTAGGAGTAAACCTTCAATCCAGCTCATGTCAGTGAGTTGCCCAGGGCAAAAAGATTGATCGTCGATTGCTACCTTGTTTTCTCTAATTTAGCATTTTTTGTGTTTGAAAATAAAAATCCAACTTTTGAAAATTCTCTGTGAAAGACTCTTTGAGGGATGAGGAGTGGGATAGGTGTGTGGGAGAGTGATTGGGATCTAATAGACTGATTTCGTATCGACAAATATACTAGTACTGTTAGCCGATAGGCGTGCTAAGTTCTCTGAATCCTGCTCCATGGTAATGCTCCGATAGTCGTTCAGCCGGGCCACATAGCGTTTAGATTATACGGCCCGGCCAGACGACTACCGTTCTCGTTCAATTCAGCTTCTCAGCTGTTTGTTGTCTAGAGTCAGTCTATTAGATATGAGGATAGGGTGGGGAAGTTATTCAGGGGGTTCCCTGAATACATCGCTGGCCTTATATATCAGCCCATGTTTCCTACGGATGTCATGATATGCCCTAATTCTCGTTATATCTCTTGTGAATTCGGTATTCTGAATGTGATGTTTATAAAATTTATTTTATACTTTAATGATGTAATCTTTAATCAAGGGCAGATCATGACATTGAGCATGCATGTCAGCCTCTCGAGTGTATCTATTACCGTTAGTAATGATTCGGAGTACCTTGTTCTGTAGCACCTGTAGCCTTTTCAGTTGAGTGGCGGAGGCGCTACAGTACACCGGACAAGCGTATGTAATCACAGGTCTTATCACTTGCTTGTACATACAAGAGCAGTTTGTTATCCATGGTTAGTCCTGAATTCCTGACCAACAATGGATACAATTGTCTTATGGCTGCATGGCCTTTACGAATTAATTTTGTGGCGTTTTCTGGCTGCTTTTTTCTCAGTTATGAGGTCAAGAATATCATCCGGGAGGTTGTCCAAGGCGGAGTTGATAGTGACTTTGTTGGTTGATGCATTTCTGAAAGATCGTTACCATCGATATAATAAGGCCTGCATGCTCCGTGGTGACGTCACCTTAGTGAGGCCTAACCAGCGGCTCGAAACGACAAGCGCTTATGGCGCTATAAGGCGACCGCGTATTTGAATTTTAGTTTTAGATCATTATTGAGCCGATTTTGCTGTTTTTTTGAAGGGCTTCTGGTTAAAAAATGATGCCAGTCGTCAACTGAGCCCTTCTTCGCATCCCATTCGATTTTATTATGGAAAACCGAAGTTTCAAAGCAAAAACCGGAATAAAACACAAATACCCACCTACAGCAACTCATCCGAATCAAATATATTGGCAAAAATTGTGGTGAAGGTAAACTTAACACCAACTTATACAGGGCCCGCAGATCATAAACTTATCCTGAGATTGATCGAAAGAAAATTGTGGGAAATGTATTTTATTTTGATAGACATGCCGTTTGTTATAATTACCGATATTTATCTTGGAGAACTCCTATTGCCTGAAAAATTAGCCAGTGAGTGTTTTCAATTTCCTGTTGTTGGATTTTTTACCCAATTGATCGTTAGACTTGAAACAGTAATTTTTATGGGTAAAACTGCATTTATCAAGCGATGTTTTTTTTCGAAATTGTTTTTTGGTACCTACTTACGTATTTTTGTCTGAAAAACACGAATTTGATAATGAAAATGTGAACAAACTACTATTCATCGAGATATTTCAAGAAGAAGTTCGAAATTTCGCCTTCTTTTTCCCCTTGTGTTGGGGGCATTTACAGCTACTAGCTCTTCTTATTTTGTCATTGGACACTTTATATACTCATGATGTACTTCAATGACACATTTTATCTAGAAAATTCAACAGGAAATGATTTTTATGGCTAGTTTTTCATATTTAGTGAACAAGCATTCCAGATGATGGCCATTTAATCAATAGTCAATCCAAATACTAGATGTCAAATGTCAACAGATTGCTTTTGAATGACATTATACACGCCATTACTTTAAATGATAGTCTTCCTTCTTTTTACTAATTTTGAATAAATCACAAGAACATCATATTTCTAGTTGACTCTTATAATAGAAAAAAATGTGTAGTACATTGTGATATACAATGTGTTTTTGAAATAAGTGCACATATTCAGCACATTAATATGATACATTCAAAGGAATATTCCCATGATATCAGATTTTTTCTTATTCTTCTAATTCTTCTAATGAACGCGAAATTTCGTCCCAAAAATTGAACGAAAAAAAAATCAAGTACACCACTTTAAAACAATTCGAATGATTGAACTCGCAGGTCTTGGCCTAATGAAGTTTTTGATTTTGTAAAATCTCTTTTTTGATGGTTTTAATCTGACTATTGTAAGTTTTTGTTCCATAATGACAATTTCAATTTCCACATTCATAATGTATTTTAGGTACTGCACAGTCTGATGATGGCCGTTGTGCCGAAACCGGTCACTGTTTTTTGATCTTTTATATAAAGTGTGGTCGACTGACTTTGAAATTTCGTTTTTCTTTTCAACCCATTAGCGCCGTGCGTTGCCATATGGCAACGCTAGGCAGATGGAGATTCAAATAATTTCCTGACAGTCAAATATTTAGCTATTAGGATGAGAGACAGCCCACATGATTCGCGAAAAAACCGGTGAGTAAGCTGTTTCGGTCACGTGAATTTGTGAAACTTTAAGCTTATTTGAATTGTCGTAAAACATGGACGTCACGTTCGTGTACGCATCATCCTGTTTTCACGCATTGGATTTCGCGACATTTGTTTTCATAATTATGGTGCACATGCTTCAAGTTATATTTGTGACTAATTGAAAAAAAAAGCAGGATTGTTTTTTTGTAGAAAATTTGCATCAAATATTCGTGTTGCTATCTGGCAACGCTAGGCGCTCATACTCAGCGAATGTGGTGAATCTCCGGCCGAGCCAATGGATGTTGAACCATTGGCCGGACAATCTTTTTTTCGGAATTCTACTAATATTTCCATTCCAATATGTAATGGGTCAAATAATTAGATGACGGAGCGGGAAACGACGAAGTTATTCAGCACTTGTCAGAAGAAACCAGGTGATATGCGTTGTTTTTGAAAGTTATCAAGAGGTACTATTTGTATATGGGCGAAACTGATCAGATGGATCAAAATATTAGTTATCACCGCGTATAGGAATTCGTACTGGCCCCTAGTCACTTGGGTGTTGAACGTTGCCATGTAAAATAGCTGAATTTTGACAAAGACTGTGTTCTAAATGTGATGGAGGTATTTGTGTTGATATTCCAAAACATGCATCACAAGCGCCTAGTGTTGCCATATGGCAACAGCAGAGTTTCGGAGAATCTGAATTCCATTTATGATTCTTTAAACTCTTCTCGTCTTTCGAAAGCATTTCACACCAGTTAATGACCATTCAAAATTTCAGAAAAAGAGGAAAAAATAATTCCGGTGCTAATGGGTTAAAATACATTGGACCACTTAGAGTATGGATGATTCCTACAATGGGGGAGACCACTGATTTTTTGAAACGACATTATCGTGAAACTACCAGTGAATTAATTTTGAATTTTTTCATTCATGCTAAGACGATGAAAAAAATAAATTAGAATATGTCCATTTCAAAACACACAATTCCTGCGCCATTTGAAATTTTGTCAATTCATTGGTGAGACTGGTGCGACGTCTTAGTCCCAACACGCCTATTGTCCTTGAACTCACCAATCACACTGCAACACTGCAGAATGACGAGGTATCAGAGAGAGATAGCTACAGTGCGGGACTAATACTTCACAGCTCCACCATCATATTTGGCTTTTCGAAATAACGAATGAAATATGCTGATTTCAAAACGATATAGATTCGATTCCCTTCAACTTCAACTCATAATATTGATTGTAGATTAAACGTAAATCATGATTCGTCGATTGAAAGAGGTTTGCACGGATTTTTTCCCTCAGTGGTCTTCCCCATTTATTTTGATTGATTGATCGATTAAAGGGCTGGATAGAGTGCGTGGGATGCGCTGACCGATCCGCGTACGACCTCACGCAACACACGCAGGCCACCGGGGTGCGTCTGGCGGCCGAGAAGAAGCTGGCGGAGCCGAGGGTTTGTGACGTGGTGGAGGCGTGCCCCAATAAGGGGGCGCTGGGCAAGGCCTTCAAGAAGGACGCCAAAACGATCACAGACGCGCTGGCCGGGCTGAAGATAGAAGATGTCGAGGATTTGGAGAGGCAGTTGGAGGATGACGGGTATGGATCAGTTTGTGTCGATTTTTTTTTTTCGTTTGGTTTCTTTTTTTTTATTTATTTCAGTTATTGCATTACATTCTCTTCTTCATTGATACATTTCATACAAATAATATATAAAGTATAATTAATTTTCTAGTAGGAATGACATGAATGATCATGCAGACAGTAATTCCTTGTATAAGATCATGGAGTATTACCGACTGTTGTATAATTGAAATTGCAAATAGTGAACAAAACTTACATATCATTAATATATCTCAAAATAACAGTCATTTTATAGTGAACAAGAAGGGCAAAAAATCAGTGAAAAAAAAAAGGAAATCCATAGTCTTTCAGCTTTGATCATTCCTTTGCATATAAATATATTTCTTCACTCTATTTTTGAATTGTATAATATTCGGGCTGTTTTTGATATCATCTGGTAATTTATTGATGAGGAGGTCTCATAAACATGGGTCCGTAAATGCATATTTTTTTAGATACTATGTGTCTAACTATGTTCCATCTTTTTCGTAAGGTCAAATCTCACTTCAGAAAAGAATAAATTAAAGAGGATCTTGGCTCCTCCACCATTCCTATGACTTACTTTCTGAAAATCCACATTTACACAGAGTTAAAATACGATTCCCTGTGCAAGTACCACTTTTACGACATCATTCATATGTCTAGATTTCCGGAAATTGTTCTTTGAATGAATAATAACTACATCACAACAGCAATGGGATAAAATAGGTTCTTCAATCCTGCTTTGTCAAGTATTATGAATACTGCCCATGAATCTCTCATTGGCTGAATGAAGTTGATTACTAATGAAGATAAATCATGATATTTTGCGATAGTATCTATAATTTTCCACTATCGTTATATCAAAATATGTTCTTCATAACTTGTCAGTCATTTTTTGCTAATGGATTCGTTCCTTAATAAAACGGATCTATTTTCTAGGAAAGTTGCAGATTATATCTTGCAACAGCGCCTAGTACTTTGAGTCCGTCCACACCACTCAAAATACTGACAGGCACAACAAGAGGAAGGAGCTATAGATGTCGACTTCATTCTGTTCTGGCCGATGGCAGTAAATTAGGGAGAATAGTATAATTGAATGTAGCCGATAGTTATTCATTGATTCAATGATATTTTCGTTTAGGATCGAGCTCTATTCGAGATTTTTCAATGCATGAATAACAAAACCATAACCTGTCAGAGTGAAGCCAACTACCCTCTGCATTCCTTCTCCTAGTGCATTGGTGGTTATGTATGTTTTTGTTTACAAGTTTTACTCCTTTTATTATCGTTTTTCATTCCTTAGCTCTTCGCTAGCTATATTCTTCACCGTCAGTTATTTTCAAACTAGATTCAGAATGACGTCACAGTTTGCCGGCCCGAAAATTAAAAATTGCTTTAATGTGAAAATAAAAACGACTTGGATTTTATCGGTCGCCAATCTGTACAGCGTGGACATGAAACTGATTTCCGAACTCATTTTATGAAAATGTATCTGAAGTAAACTTCCCCTGTGGCACTTGATACTGCTAGAGTTTCTCTTGTTTTGACGTGTCTGTATATTTAGACTATGGCAGTCTCACAAGCACTCTCACATGTAGATATAACCACAAACAAATAGATGAAAAAAGCTGGAACTGACAATACTTGATCGTACTAGATATCAATCTCAATCTCATATTGAGAACAAATTTGGAAAATAATAAGATGCAATAAGTTTATGCTATTTCTAACTCCAAAAATACTGGGAATCGATTTACTTCATTCAAATTTCTGTCAAGTAGAACGCACTTGTGGTTATGTCTGACTGGCTATGCTTGACGAGATACAACGACGTCAAAATAAAAGTGTCAAATACATTAAGGACCAAGGGATTCTTACTACCAACGGGTCTTCAACAATGTTTGAAAACCACGTGACAGATTACTATGCAACCAACAATACATTCGTAACATGAGTGGAAAGAGGACGCGGCATCAAAAATGGTCACGTGACACTTAATCATTGTTAAAGACCCGGTACAAGTATCACCCGAATTCCAAAAATATAAGCCATTTTTGCAGTTCCACTGACCTTTGTTTATATGAACTGTTCGACTTAGAATCCCTTGAAGTTTACACATGTACTTCATTAACAACCTGTATATTAAGGACTAGCAAAAGGACCTATTTTTTGATGATATGATGAAACATTGCCTCTTGTGCATGAGGACAACAGTGTATCGTGAAACTCGCAGGATTTTTATTTCTTGAAGTATTTTTTTTTTCAGTTCATACCAACTTTCTGTTGGTGATGAAAAATATACGCTCAACAAAGATATGGTGTCGGTGAAAAAGTACCAGAAAACCGAGCATGTCGAAGAAATAATTCCCAGCGTTATTGAACCATCATTCGGTGAGAAAAATCATATTCAGTGGTCAAAACTAGAAATGGTACACCTGAAATAACTTTCAAGTCGATTTTGTATAGACTAATGCAAAATTATTCAGTTATATTTCTGTGGAAAACAAATACCAAGAAGCATGAAGAATTTTCCACATTCAACAAATACACTATGTTGTTACACACCACAACTGATTTTCTCAAATAATAGTGGAGATGTTTTTACGCGAGTATTATCTTTCAAACAATCAAATTTAGTAATTACTAGTCGATAATTCAATGGAATGCACATTGTCATTAATTGGAAAACTGGCATATGTTTCATACCATTTCATGAGTACCTAATTTCAGCGAGACCTAACCATGTGCATTATGAATTAACAACTTGGCAACAGCGCTTTGCGCTGGCGAACTCATTGAATTCGATGTAAACACCTGGAAGGGATCCTCTGTGAACGACGAGTGAGGCAAAAAGATTGTTCAGGCAACCCGCAGTGGTTACGGATACCTATCTCTTTCTATCTTATGTTGGCTAATGGGAAGCGCTCGCATTATTTCAAATATTTTCTCGTTTTCTGCGTTTATTTAAGAGTAAACGTGATTAAATATAAATATCCATTCATTCCATTATATACTTTCAATCAAAAGTCACAATATATTGTACAGGGTGGGCGAAGCTCAACGGTTCAGCACTATCAGCAGCGATTGAAAAACGATAGAAAAAATTTTAAAAGAGGTTCTTGAATGATATTGAGTACCTAAGGTCTATTTTAGGCCTAATATTTAAGAGTACCTATTTTTCCATAAACATTTCTCTATCAGAAGGTGAATGAAAAGTGAATAAAAGGTGAATGAAAAAACAATGTTTGGCGAATTGCGTCGCCCAGAATGTACACCTTTATTTGTTTTTTTTTAAGAAGAAGCTCCAAATGCCCTTGAGAAAAAAAAGAATTGGGAATGAATAAGGAAACATAAACCATAAATACTATATATTATACTATATTGATAAGATTTACTTCATGAATGAAGATAACATTTTCTCACCAGTTCACTTTAGGATCGATTCTAGATTGAGAAATATTTACTTGATATTTCCTTAAAATGAAACAGCTGGCAACACAGGAAGAGGAATTATCACGTCAGCACTGGCGCCGCCGAGCGCCATGTTCGAACGTTCCATGAAATCGGAGGGTATTCAAATGGTGTTGTTTTGAAATATTAGAGCATATTTTATCAAAAAATAGCTGCATTCATGTTATGTTATGTTTAATTATATGCGCATTGAAATTGAATTAACGATTCTTGCATTTGTGTCCTAGCCTATAGATCGCGTGCACGATGACCGCCCTGGTAGTAAAATATTGAAACATAACCTCACTCATCTGTAAATCATTGAATCACAACCTCACTTTTTTTATTTGTCTACAGAAAATCATTTTTCACAATATTTTGGCATACGAATCGTGTTTTTTTGCGCTATTCATCAATTCAAGCATGCCTTCTCATTGTGCTGTTGTACATTACACAAAAAATACAACGAGAGATGGAGGAATATGATTTTTCAGGTTAATAGTAATCTCACATAGTTTTCATTATGCAAGTTTGTCATTTCTAATTAAAATTCCTTCTGCCACTTCCGCAATAGAAGCTTATACTGCTAATAGATTGAAAATGTCTACAGCACAAACGATCCTATTTTTTCGTCAGCATGTCAGACCAGTCCTCCCGTTTGATTGCATGAATCCAATCTTCTTGCATTCTTTCAGAAATTTCACGAGTATTTCTATCAGCTCCTATTGCAGATGGAATTCCGATGAGAAATCAGAGAAATTACCAGATTTCAAAATCAAAACTGTATGTGAGTGACCATAGTAGGTACTTACTTCTACCGCCTTCGACAGACTTGACCACGGAATTTTGATAAACAAACTGAAAGCATTTGGCTTATCTATCTCTCTAGTAAACCTATTCAAATCATACCTCACTAATCGTAAACAATATGTCCAGTTGAACGGCTACAAGTCTATCGAATATCTTGCAACATCTGGCGTACCACAGGGCTCCAATCTGGGACCACTTCTTTTCAACATTTTCATTAACGACATTGGTAATGTAATTGACGTGAACTTTTTGCTATATGCGGACGACCTGAAATTATATAGGTGCGTGAATCACATAGATGATTGTGAACAGCTCGCTGACAACCTGGGTCGGGTGGAAGAATGGTGTCAAAATAACAGATTAGAACTGAATCCTGTCAAATGTAATGTCATGTCCTTCACATTGAAGTCGGACCCTATCGTTTTCAATTACTCAATTGGTGGCATTTCTCTTCTGAGACCTATAACATTCAAAGATCTTGGCGTTATATTTGATCAATCTATATCGTTTAATGATCATATTGACTCAATCCTGAAATCGGCATTTCGAGCATACGGGTTCCTAGTACGCAGCAGTCGTGATTTTAAAGAGATAGATACTCTTAAGAAATTGTACTACTGTTTTATACGTTCGAAGATTGAATATGCATCGGTTGTTTGGAGCTCATACTATCGGAACAATACTGATCGTCTTGAAAGTCTGCAACGACGGTTTTTAAAACTGTTAAGTTACAGGTCATGCGGTACATACCCTCCAATTGGTACACCTCATGGAGAGCTTCTAAAAACTTTCCGATTCGTGAGCCTGCACGTAAGAAAACAATACTTCTCTATCCTGATCCTTTATAAGGTTGTTAACAATCCAATCGACTGTGCAGATTTGTTGGAAAAATTGAACTTTATTATCCCGAGATTTTCTTCCAGAAATTGTAATACGTTCTACTTCTACAGATCTGTTCAGCTGTGGAATAACTCATATCAAAACTTTTTATCTTTTTTCTCCTTCATCAGTGAATAACTAGATACTTAGTCAGGATATTTTCATTTTGTCATATTGTTTCGTCTATCCATTATGCTTATGTAATATGCAATGCATGTTTTTGTTTTGTCCTTTTTTTCCTGTTCTGTAAATGGGGCAACCTGTTGAACAGTGTAAGAAATAAATAAATAAAGAAATCATATTATATTAAACGGAGACACGATTTGTATGCCAAAATAATTGTGATTTCAATCATTTGTTAACAAATAAGAAAAGTGAGGTTGTGTTTCAATGTTTCACCTCTAGGGTCGGTCATCTGACAGTTATTGCACGCAACCCATTGTCAGGTATCCCATTTCTATTTTAGATCACTTCACTCATTTACTCGTTCCTCCAAAAATATTTTTTCTACGTACAATTCCAGGGGTCGGTAGGGTGATGTACGCAATTTTCGAGCACAACTTCAAGCAGCGGGAAAACGACGAACAGAGAACGTATCTGTCTCTGCCGGCCAGCGTGGCTCCGCTGAAATGCAGCGTCTTGCCTTTGAGTGCCAACCCGGACTTTGCTCCTTTCATCAAGAAAATATGTAAGTCAGGAACCCAGATGAAAGAATAGACCTTTTCAACTTCAATTTCGGAATCGGTAAGTTATATTTCGGAAAATTTAATCTCGATTTCAGAAAAAGTCCATTCAATTTCAGAAATGGTAAGTTGTATTTCAGAATTGAATTGAATTCATGAAAAAAATCCTTATATTTGTTCGAAATGTTTCCAATTGCATGTGAGATTAACAAACCATATTTAAAAAATTCAACTTTTCAAAAACAATTTAATCCACAGATGCCTTCCATCTGAATCGCTGGAAGATAGTGGCGTTGCACATGATTATAAGAATGCAAACACATTTGAGGTGTTATCATTTTCATTGAATGATCTGCACATTCTTCAAGACATCGCAGTCTGAATTCTATCTGGTTGAGCAATCTGTTCGGATCTCCAGCTATGACCCTTTGGCGATGCTCTTGCAAGAAGATCTTCACTTCTGACTTGAAGGCACCCCATATATGTTCAATCTGATTCAACATAGGGCTCTCAAACACCGTTCCATCCACTGTAAACAATCTTCTCTTTTGCAATTGAAAACATTTCAAACATATAAAAGGATTCATCTTCTGAAATAGAAACCTACCAATAATTCTGAAATACAACTTACCATTCCTGAAATTGAATGGACTTTTTCTGAAATTCATCTCACCGATTCTGAAATTGAGTTTACCATTTCTGAAATCGAACTAACCAATTCCGAAATCGAGATTACTTTTTCCGAAATATAACTCACCGATTCCGAAATTGAAGTTAAAAAGGTATAGATATCTGATTCAGGCTGCTTTCACAAGCATCCGTTTTCACGGATCTACGTTTGCGTGATTTCCGTACACAAGTTTGGATCCCTTCCGAATGGAATGGTTCCGTGAGCTCCGTTGTTATCCTTGTTTTGCACAAGTGAATATTTGGCTAGAGGAATGGAGGAAAACGGCAATGAAAAGTTTTTCAATTATTTCAGAATGTCACCTGATATGTTTTATCTATTGCTCGGACTCTTGGAGACTAAACTTGAAAAACAACCGAGAACCAGATTAAAAATTACGCTTCGTTAATTGGCATCTGATGGTGACAGTATGACTTCTATTTCATGTCTATTTCGTGTTGGGATTTCTACAGTTTCAGAAATTATTCCTGAAACATGCCTTTTTAGGCATTTAGAAGACATCCATAGATAAATTACAAACACATCCCACAAAGTCTATGAGTTTTTCGACGGTTTGGGAAAAAATCGAAAAAATTAAAATATTTACTTTTAACTTGGCTTTCTTCTCATCAAGGACAAATTAAACGGAGGAAACTTAATGTTGAGCCATTACCACCGATACAACAAGGCCTGCATGCTCCGTGGGTGACGTCACTTAGTGAGGCCTAACCTGCGGCTTCTAAACGACAAGCGCGTATAGCGCTATAAGGCGACCGCGTATTTCGATTTTAGTTTTAGATCATCATTGAGCCGATTTTGCTGTTTTTTGAAGGGCTTCCGGTTAAAAAAGGATGCCAGTCGTCAACTGAGCCCTTCTTCGCACCCCATTCGATTTTATTATGGAAAAACGAAGTTTTAAAGCAAAAACCAGGATAAAACACAAATATCCACCTACAGCAACCCATTCGAATTAAATATGTTGGCAAAAATTGTGGTGAAGGTAAACTTCACACCTACTTATACAGGGCCCGCAGAACATAAACTTATCGTGAGATTGATCGAAAGAAAATTGTGGAAAATATATTTTATTTTGATTGACATGCCGTTTGTTACAATTACCTATATTTATCTTGGAGAATTCCTATTACCTGAAAAAATAACCAGTGAGTGTTTAAAATATTCTGTTGTTGGATTTTTATAATGAAAATGTGAACAAACCACTATTTATTGAGATATTTCAAGAAAAAGTTCGAAATTTCGCCTTCTTTCTCCCCTTGTGTTGGGGGCATTTGAAGCTAATTGCTCTTATTTTGTCATTGGACACTATATATACTCATGATGTACTTCGATGGCACATTTTTATATAGAAAATTCAACAGGAAATATGATTTTTATGGCGAGTTTTTCATATTTAGTGAACAAGCATTCCAGATGACGACCATTTAATCAATAGTCAATCAAAATACGAGATGTCAAATGTCAATAGATTGCTTTCGAATGACATTACACACGCCATTATTTTGAATGATATTCTTCCTTCTTTTCACTAAATATGGATTAATCTCAAGAAAATCATATTTATAGTTGAATTATATATAAATTGTCCAATATGATGAAAAAAGAAGGGAAATTTGTTCTAAATGCCATCCAGAAGACAGGTGAAAAAGAAGGTGAAATTTGGAACTTTTTACCTTTTTAAGTAGAGTGTTTGTATTTCATGTTAATATGATAGTTGCAATTTGATCATTGGAATGAATTCTGCATTCATTGCCACGAGGCAAATGACCGTTTTCAGAAAGAAATTTGAGAATGAGAATTAAAAATGCCCGTTTATTATGAACATTCAAGAAAATTTCCTCGAATTCAGAGATTATTTTGTTGACTATAATAAATATACGAATACAAAACTAACTGCACAATCAAAGCTTTTCTATTTTTCCTCTACTTATACTTTTTATGAGAGAGTAATTGTCTTCTATTATTAATTCATCATTATAAATTGAGCTCTGTTTACTACTGAACTTAGATGGAGTAAAATCCTCGCGGTGAATTGCATATACCCACATTTTCGATAGCTCCTCGTCCAACGGGAAACTAAAAGCATGAACTTTTGAACCACCCACATAATTCCCCCGACAAAAGGGAACACAACACTTGAAAGGCATTGTTATTTCGCCGATCACAACACAAAATATTTCACAAACCAGTAATTTTTCCGCCAATTATTTTGATGAATAAACAACAAAAGAATTCGAGACCGTATCAAAAACATACGTGAATCACCGATGAATTAACACGAACTGACGCGTTAGTCGACAAGCGATAAAATAAAACACTGGCCTCACTTGGCGACGTCACGAGCTGTTTACGTCAGAGTCTGCTGGCCTTGTTGTGTCGGTGGTAACGGTTGAGCCGACTCATCCGTGTCGATTCCTATTGGCCAATATTCATCACATGATGCAACAGATCCGTGAAAACGGATGCATGTGAAAGCAGCCTCATTGTCGGTCTGAATAGAACCCTAGTTGGTAGGCGAGAGGTATTATATTGTCTGTGTTCATTGACCCAGAATCTGTCTGCCTGTCAATGGCGCTCATTTATCTCTACAGGGTGAGTCATAGTGAGTTGATATGTGAAAAAATATATTTTGCTCATTCATACCAGTAATACAGGCCATTATTTGAATTCGGGGAGAATCATGGATGAACGATATTTCACGAACGTCCCGATGTTATCGTCTGAAAATGACCAGCAACTTACCTTTACTAACACTCCATAAGATGGCCGTCTATTGAAGAAAAATTCCAGAGACGGACTTAGAATGTCATAATATTGACTATCTGGATCGTATTTTTCAAAAACTCTCATCAGAATCAGAGAGATCAGGAAAAACACTACAAGTACAGCTTTTCAATTTGTACGGCACATTTCAACCGATTGGGTAAAAACATGTTCAGCATGAAATTGTCCAATTTGTCCTAAGTTAACCGATCTCGTATCTCTTATAATAACTGAGATCCCAATAGTGGAGCTCAAAAAACGGACACCCTGTATACAGGGATATACTCTATCTAGTGATAACCTATCAGACAAACACAATTCGGTCTTAGTGAAAACCTCACGATTTTCGATAAATCGGAACTTATACAGGGTGTCCCTAGACCAGTGGGACAGTTAAATATCTTCTGCACCAATAGGAATTTTCAAAATATTATGATTCCACATCATATCGCATCATGAGTGCTATCTTCAGGAATGACCATATTTTATACGAGGGGCGCAAGGAAGGCTCACAAAATCGAACATAAATTTTTTCAAATGGAACACCCTGTATTTCATTGCATTTTCATATTCTCCTTGAAGAGCTGAATTCAACGACCTAGCACACTTGGGGTCTAGCGGGAATGATTTCCGAGATATAGGGTGTGGAAAATCGAGATTTTTCATTTTTGGGAATTTTTTTTGTCAAAACTATTCATTATTGGTCAAAATGGCTCACATGTCCATGTATTAACTTTTGATTTACTATTCACTCGTATTTAAATCAAACAAATACAGGGTGGTGTAGAATTCTCAGTTTCAGTCGGAATTCTACACCACCCTGTATTTGTTTCAATTAAATACGAGTGAATAGTAAATCAAAAGTTAAGATATGGACATGTAACCCGTTCTGACCAATAATGAATAGTTTTGACACAAAAAATCCCCAAAAATGAAAAATCTCGATTTTCCACACCCTATATCTCGGAAATCATTCCCGCTAGAGCCCAAGTATGCTAGGTCGTTGAATTCAGCTCTTCAAGGAGATTATGAAAATGCAATAAAATACAGGGTGTTCCATTTGAAAAAATTGATGTTCGATTTTGTGAGCCTTTCTTGTACCCCTCGTAGAAAATATAGTAATTCCTAAAGTTAGCACTCATAATGCGATATGATGTGGAATTATAATATTTCGAGAATTCCTATTGGTTCAGGAGATATTCAACTGTCCCACTGGTCTAGGGACACCCTGTATATAAAAAAAAAATTCCTATCTTAGATCATACTTTCATGTTCCAAGCATATTAACTCTTATTTTCGATAATCATCACTGAATAGTAGTTGTAATAATCGCAATAGGTAGATTTTCGATAGCAGTCATTTATGGTCAACAAAAAAAGGTAACTTCCGATTCGGATCCTTCATGATAACTATACATGGAACTTTGTTAGAAGTTTTTTCTTTGAAGACCGTAAATGACTGCTATCAAAAATCTGCCTTCTGCGATTGTTACCACTACTATCCAGTAATATTTATTGAATAATAATTATCTAATATAGATGATAAGAATCAACATGCATGAAGATTTCCTTATTTGCTCGAAACATGAAACAATAATCTGAGATAGGTGTGCGTTGGTTGTTCAAATAACTATACTTGAGTGGACTGTATCGTTCATCCAACCAATTTCTTCGTGTACGAGAATATACGGCTCGAAGGACCAAATTTATGTGCGTTCGTTGTTCAAATAACGATACTTGAGAGGACTGTATCGTTTATTCAACTTGAAATTAATACATGAATGCGTGTAACGTATCTGCAAGTACATATATACTGTGAGACTGCCAATGCGCGACTGTGACTAGACCAACTCTGTTCAGTTCAATCTATAACCTACCGCAGGTAGGAAGCCTCTCAAGCCAAGAGAGGGCAGATACTGGCGTTTTTTTTATGTTCTGGTTCTCACAAAAAGGGATATCCTGTAATGTTCAGAGCGGGAAATAAGGTAGGAATTGGTGTTCTTCTCAAATTTCTGGAGGTTATATGCCTCGGGGAACACCTCCCTTGTGTTCCAGAGCCTCGCTGTTCGTTGGATGAACGAGTCTTTGGAAAGAGATGTTCTGCAGGCCTCCAAAATGACCTCGAAGAGGTGCAAAGCCTCAACTCGACGGGTTAATCTCGCGGGGACTGCTAAGGGAGGAACAATTGTTATTTCAGAAGAGCATCGTCCATGAAAATATCTATAGAATAGAGCCAGATCGCTAACTTTTCTACGGTGTTCCAGAGAAGTGAGTGAGTTTGTGAGCGAGGCATCACCCACGAGACGTAACCAATTATCTAGAAAATAGGAATTCAATTTTTTTATACAAAAATTCTCATATTACAAAAACCTTGAGGTTTTTGCTGAGGTCAGGTTGTGGTTTTCTGCTAGGTTATGAACTTGTTTTTTGCTAGTTGGAATATGATCCATGGTTCGCCTTTATGGTTTCTTTATAGCTTCTGGGCTGACCAGAGTGGACGTTTCTCACAAAGTTGACGACAGTTCCGGTTCCATTGGAAGAAGATATGCTCGAACCGACGAGATAGCGATTCCTTACGGCATCACCATTGATTTCGACACGCTCAAAGAACCTCACAGCGTCACGTTGAGGGAGAGAGATTCCATGGGACAAGTCAGAATACCGGTAGGATTTTTTCACTATCAGATTTTATCATGTTTTTTCTTTTGCTCTGTTTTTAGCTGGACGATATCGCAGTGACTGTCCATAATCTTTCCTACAGCAAAGAAAGTTGGAGCGACATCGAGAGGAAATATCCAAAATTCGAACAACAGGAAAACAAAGGAGTATGAATTGAGCCCGGTTTCTGTCTTAACGTTAATTCCAACTAAATTATTTATTTGATGAGCTTACTTTTTTAAGTATGAAAGTGTACGTACCATTTTTCGAAATTATGATTTATAAAAAAAATTTACTGCCCAACTGCAATAGAGAAGTTTACTTAGCGTGAAATAATGGATATTCATGTTGGTGAATCACACAATTAGAAGAAGAATATTCTAACCTCAATGATAATATGGTTGCATAAAGCATTGGAGGAACGATTGAATATTTGATTTGTTGATATCCACGGCAACGTATACCTTAGTTGAAGAAGAGTTGATTCCACCAACAGAAAGTCTTTCTTTTTTGTTCTGGTCTTCAGGGAAAACCACAGAACTCATATTACTTACAGAAAATTATGTTGTACTTGTTATGCTACACTAGCTCCAAGTTTTTCCGTACGGTCGAGGCTCGAAACTTATTGTTATATATTATGATGATGAACAAAAACATATATGTTTGGAAATAATAGCTTTAATTTTTTAAATGGTAGGGCATATCCCTCGTCTTTTATTATAATCCTCCGTTTTGATCAAAAAGGTTTCTATTAAAATGCATTCAAAAACTTGTGGAGTGGATAATTTATAGGCACAATGTGAAAGTATGATATGTGATTTCGTATTAGTTTTACCCTGAATATTTTGCTGATGTATTCACCAAGTTTCCCCATTCGGTCACTTCATTTTCCATGTTCTAAATTCATTAATTTGCATTTGATGGAAAGCTGACAAATTCAAATTTGCCATCCAACTGATTGATACAGCCTAACGCAGCACATTTTACCATCCTTCCAAAACAGAATGGAATGTTTTATCAAGATCAAGTTTAGTATGATATTAAAATTTTGCAAGATCTCTTTAAACGGCTATGAATGTGACGTGACAACAATGTCATGTCAGGGGCGCCAATACCAAAGTCACTAGATGGATTAAGAGAAAGGAGCTATGATCTGTCCGTAGTCCCTAGTCACAGTGAATCACGTGATACATTATCAACGCATGCGCTCGTAGAAAACGTAATTATTACTGAGATCCTTTGGGTCATGGAAAGCTCTAATCAGTACGCCAATGATCACAGCCGACTGGAGGCATGCGTTTGATGGACCAGAGTTAAACTCCCTAAGCAAACTTGGCCTTCACAATTTTTTTTGTAAAAAATAATGTCATATAATGGTTGGAAAGATTTAGACACTTCTGTACAAGTACATAAGTTCAGTCCAGTGGAAAATATTACTAGTGATTCACATAATCAGACACAAAGACTTCTAACCTCTAAATAATGAGTTAGAGAATCTTACTTGTGTCGTTTTATTTGCAACTTTCCCGATTCCGGTTGCTTCTTTTCATTCCGTCTTACTACAAGGAATGACATGGAATGACTGTTAGTAGCATGATGAAGCTACTGGTATGAAGTAGTTTTATCGAATTTACAATTTTTTTAATATTACAGAAATTTCGAAAATTTTTAAAAAATATCGAAATCTAAAAATGTAATAGAAAGATAAAATCTGAGTCACATATGTAAAATTGAAATAGAAACAACTTTTTCAAGTGAACTTTTTCGATATTCGAACAAATAAGCCTACTTTCAGCGATTAATTTGAAAAAATGTCACTTTTGACATGTAGCGAAAGTCACGTGACCCCGATTGAGTAGGCCATTTTTAATCTTTTTTTAAGCAGAACTTAACGTCCAGCTCGAATTCTAAAATAAGTCATTAATAAAAGTGTTTCCCATATGATGCCGACTTTATGAACGGCACTGTATTGATATAACCTCTTATGTGAATTCTCTCATGCAAGGTCATGAAGATTCGCGTTTTATTTGTAAACGTCATTCTGTTCCCAACACCGCTACCAGAATGGAACAAATAAAACGCAACTTTACTAACTCCCAACACCCGTATTCTGCCAGAAACGTTTGCATCTAACAGTTTGAATTTCAAAATCCCAGATGAAGGTTAGACTGGTCTTATTCTCATTTTTTTACACACCATTTTCGGTCGGAATACTGAAGACAAGGATTTGGCTAAGCTATTATCAAGATACATTCACAAACGTTTTTCAAAAATAAAACCAATTAAGTGTTTTCAAATTTACTAAAAAACAACGCCATTTGTACAAACTATTTACCATTCAAACACTAGACCATTTTGAGGAAAACTTCAATTATGACATGGAAGAAAAAATTTGAAAACCACAAATCAGAACAGATCAGTGACAACCATCACTAAACTCTCCTTTTATTTATAATAACTTAACAAATATTATTGATACAAAAAATGAATCTTATGATGCAAGGGGCTATTCCAAGTCTGGTATGGGCTCATCGTCCGAATCACCTCCTTCGTCAAGGTCATCGAAATTTGGTTTGCCTCCACCGCCGCCTAAAAACAAAAGAATATGGTCAAAACAATCAGAATGAATAGACAAGGCGAATGAACCGGAAGATAAAAAAAAAATCGAAAATGTGAGAGTGCCCTCTAGTGAGCATATTCGATGTTCCAAATTTCAGAAATATAGCTAGAAAAACAAAGGAGAAAAAGGGGGTATACCATGAGTCAGTGTCACCCGGTATAATATATATCCTGGAAAAAAGTAATTTATGAAAAGTGACATTTTGCAACCTGTCAACAGAGATAAAATGTCAAACTTTCGTCCCGTCACAGAAAAAACGTATTATTTCCACGTTACAATTTTGTTCTTTGATATTCAGGAAGAACAATTTTTTTCAAAGAACTCTCATCAGAAAAGTTATTTCCTGTTGATTTGCTTAAAAGCTATGGAACTCTGAGAGGCTGCTATCACATGCATCCGTTTTCACGGATCTACGTTTGCGTGATTTACGTACACAAGTTTGGGTCCCTACCGAATGGAACGGTTCCGTGAGCTCCGTTGTTATCCCTGGTTTGCGCAAATATCTCTAAGAAATAAAACAATATGGGAGCAGAAAATAATAAAGGAAAAAGTCAAAAATTTGTACATACTCTATTTATTATGGAGAGATACAGAATGTCAAAAGACACAAACAGACACAGACAATTCTCGAAGATATCATGACGCAAGTGAATATTTGGTTAGAGGAATGGAGGAAAACGGCAACGAAAAGTATTTCAATTGTTTTAGAATGTCGTCTGATATGTTTTATCTATTGCTCGGACTCTTGGAGAATAAACTTGAAAAACAACCAAGAACCAGATTAGGAATTACGCTTTGTTATTTGGCATCTGGTGACAGTATGACTTCTATTTCATATCTTTTTCGTGTTGGGATTTCTACAGTTTCAGAAATTATTCCTGAAACATGCCTTTTTAGGCATCTAGAACACATCCATAGATAAACTACAAACACATCCCACAAAGTTTGGGGGAGTTGTCGACGGTTCAGGTAAAAATCGAAAAAATTAAAATATTTACTTAACCTAGCTTTCTTCTCATCACGGACAAATTAAACGGAGGAAAGTTAATGTTGAGCCAACTGGGTACGTTGCGATTGTCGACTCATCCGTGTCGATTTCTATTGGTCAATATTCATCATATGATCCAACGGATCCGTGAAAACGGATGCATGTGAAAGCAGCCTCAAATTGGTATTTAATAAAAAATCTCAACTGAACCCATCATAATGAAAATCAAGTTGGCCGGGGTTTAGTCTCAATTGGTTTCATATGAGTGCAAAATGTATCCCAGTTCAGCTAGCATTAGGAAAAAAATTCTTCCCCATCTGTTTTAGTCTTCGGTGTTCAATGTGAAATAATGGAAATTGTATTTTGCTAACATTGGAAATAAAAACTGGAGAAGAAGAACATAACCTCAATATAAAAACGTTAGAATCATATATCTACTACTAATATATGAATCATCGCTGTCCTCAAAGCGGGACCAACTGCTGTCTCTATAGGTAACGAAATCCACCAATAGGCGTTGATGCCGACGTAGGAAAAAAATACGACAATATGGCTACTTATTTCAAATTTTCCATCCTTCACTTTCCGTCCTTGTAGATTCAGAAAGTACCTCTCATTTTGATCCCATTTTTGTTGAGATATAGTACATACAGGGTGTTAACAAATAAGTTTCACAACGGAAAACTGTAGATTACTCATAATAAAAGAAACATTTATTTCCTCTTCAAATTTTTTCTCCGGGGCTTCCGTTTTCAAGATACAGGGCGTCAAAAAATCAAAAATGTTCAGTTTGATTAAACACACTTTACTACACTTAATAAACTTGACACTTTGAAACCCAGCATCGAGACCAGATACTCAAGAACCTGACATGTAATTGAACATATTATTAGACAGTTCTGAGGTGTTTATTTCCAGTGGATTTTCAGACGATTTTTGCAGATATCATCAGGATTTTGTATTTTCTTATTCATAAAGAGCCATCTTTCGCGGAAACTGTTCACTTTAGAGCATTGAGACAAGAGGACGTTTTTTGTGTGAAAGATATTGGCGCTTCAGAATCTACTTTGAAAATTACAATTTCTCCAGTGGCATGAATGTTTGGGGGGTTAAACCCTTATGAGGCGTTGAATTCTCCTCCACTGACATGTCCAAGGAAATTGATCAAGAGCCCTAAAAGTAGTCATTATTGATGATAAAGTGTGTACGAAGGCTCAACTCCGTAGCTCAGACGGTTCCTGAGATAGCAGCAAAAATCTGATTTTTTTATATTTTTTTGACGTCCTGTATCTTTATAACGGAAGCCCGGAGAAAAATTTCGAAAGGGAAAAAAATGTATCTTTTTTCATGAGCAATCTACAGTTTTCCGTTGTAACACTTATTTGTTAACACCCTGTAACATGAAGATTTGCCTTTTCATGTTCCATAGTGTGAATTCTGCAAATAGGTAATTGGGAAGCTTTGTAGAGATGCACTGCGTAACTCAATGATTTCTTTTCTAGGTTTTGAGGTACTGTACATTATTCCATCTTGTTAAATGTTTTCATTTTCAATGTCCATGACTGGATGACAGTTAGGTTATGTTAGTCCACTTCTTATCCAACCTTACACATTTGTCAGACGCCCATGAACATTGTTGTTTACATCATAGTCTCGTGGCAGTAGAAGACTGTTTGTCGCGTTTAGTGGCAGTGGCCTGTAATGGTGCAGGGATATTCGCAATGTTGTATCGACTGGTGAATCGACTAATGTATCGACTATCGTATCGACTATCGATGTCATGATCGATATTTAATATTTCTTTCAAGTTGCATCCCTGAATCTGACTTGAATCATATTATTTGGGTGGCTAGATTGACACTGCGCAGAGACGGATTTTGGTTTGTATTATTTTTTTTTGAATAGATCACAAGTGCTCTGATTGACGGAAACTTGTTATTTGAGCAATTTCCGTTTATTCATCCTTCTTGCTGATTCCTTCTCTTGCGAAAAGGTTTCATGTGCTGAAGCCAAAATGAAGCCCTTTTTGATTTTGACTCTCGTGCGATCAGGTCAGGTGGTGGACACCTACTTTTGTGTTAGGCCTTTCCGATAGGAAGATATCACGGCCTTATACAGGGGAGCAGGGGGTACAGACTAAGTGGATGATATGAACTCCATTTTCTGTTGACCACATGGCATGTTTCTGGACTTGAATTTTATCAATCAACACTGTTAACTGGATGGATCACTAAATATCAAATCTCATCAACTATGGGCATTTAGAAATCTTGAACTGTTTTCTGGACTTCACTGTTTGGACATCACGTGGACACTTTTTTCAATGGTTGAGGCACCTGAGGGATCTTCGTGCTTTGAAGCCTGAGTCACCAACACACTTGAAGGTGGAAGCAAGACCCTGGTGATTTCTTTTGTATGTCTCTGGGCATCTATAGGACCCGACAGCCTGGAATTTCTGGCAGAATCCTTGCTGCCAACAGTGCAAGTCCCTAGCAGCCCTTCTGGTTTAGATAGCCAGTGATCCTGACTTCTGACAGGAATTCCAGGGGAGTCCAGACTCCCGGTATGGTTGATTGATCCTTAATCCCTAGGATTTTGTTACTTTGGAGCCTGAACTCCCAGAGCCCAGTCAGATAGTGAGACGTCCTGGTCCAGCTTGGATGATAGGAAGAGCTTGCCCTGGTGGCAGCCTGTGGACCCGTCAGCCAGAGTTGCAGTGCAGAATCCAGTTGCCCTGGGATACACCAAGTGCCCAGGTCTCCAGGTGGTTGTGACTCCTGTCAACTGTGTGGGGATCCAGTTTTCCTAGCACACCTAACCCCTACCGCCGACTGAGGGAGGAGTGTCTTTGTTCATCCAGGTAGTGAGATCTATTGGACCACAGTTGGAATCTCATGGTTCAAAATCCAGAACTTGCAGCTAAGGTCAGAATATTCCATATATACTTTTTTCCCTGTCTGAGGACATTTAACATGTACTTTTTTCCCTGTCTTGAAGACATTTAACATACATATTTTTTCCCTGTCTTGAAGACATTTAACATACCATATTTTTTCACTGTCTGAGGACATTTAAATAGTTATTTTTCACTGTCTAATGTCATGAGATATTTGAACACTTGTCAATAACACATAACAGTCTAAGATCGGATTTTATATATAATAGAATTTTTGGGTCTGTTAGAGACTCTGTGAACCCAAAGTATAGGCCTATATGAAGGGAAATCAACCCTTGTACTGAGTTACAATCACAATACATATTTACCACCATTTGAATACCTATTGTTGGCATGTTAAGGTGAATAAATCAGTTAACAGTTATTTTGGCTTATATTTATATCTTGGATTTTTTTCTCAGTAATTCAGCTGTGAAAACTGAGTGGCGCCTGACAAAAGGATAACCCCACTAGTGAACAATAAAAAGAACTAACTCACGACCTGCTCCCAAACAAGCGAGCTGCCGTGCCTATAACAAATCAAAATCTCTTTCTTTTCCAAAACATCAAAAGAGTTGTTATAGATAATTGGCACCATGAACGTGGGGCCCGATTTTTAGACTGTTAAATTAGGTCATTATAAAAAAAATTAGATAGTGAAATTTTTGAAACTTTTTAGCACAACATCAGCTGGAAAAAACTAGTGGAAAATTGAACTTTGTGGAAAATTGAACATTTTACCAAGGATTTTATTGGAGTTTTATTGGAGTTTTATTGGAGTTCTATTGGAGTTCTGTACACTGGAGTTCTGGATTTGTGCAGCCCCTTTTTTAGTCCAACTTCATCTGCCTGTAGTGAGGTGAGTCATTTTGTGCACAGAGTATTTTTGCATTGCAGCCTTTACCTTTTGAGGAATTTTCATTATGTTTATATGATTTGGTTGTTTTCATGTGCATTCATTCAGGTATTTTCCCTGATTAATTTTTTAGGTATATATAAATACCTGGGCATATATTAATTAACCTAATTTTTAAAAAGGGACAAAA